AAGAGAAACCTACCTAAAAATCACTCTTTTTTGTTTCTTGTGACATTTCTAAAGTTCAGCAACAACTCTGTAGGCGGACAGATGGAAATGGAGCACTCGGCAGTGTATACTCAAGGGATGACATTAAAAAGCAGCGTGTGTGTGAGGATAAGGGGTGTCAGAGAAGAAGCAGGGGGAGACTTAAATTCAAGGGCGAGAGACAAAGAGAATAAATGCAAAGGAGAGACTGGTGTGGTCGGGCTTGCTGCGCTGTAACCCTGGAAAAACAAAACCTTACAAACAACAACTACTAAAGTCGAGAGACCATTAGTCCACAACTTCTAAACATACTGCTCAAAAGACTTATTTATATAAGGTGACAAAAAAACAGAAAAGAAAAAAGCCGGTAGTTTGTGGCGAAAAAGCCTGGAAATATGTAAGAGAGCGAACAGAAAGCAAGTAGAGACACAGCAGGGAGAAAGCGAGCAGTGGAAGGGTGTGACCAGCACCAGGGTGAAGTTTTCCTGCAGCAGCTGAGGTGGCTGGCAGGGGAATATTCTGCTTCTACCTGTTAATTACGTTCATCTTGATATTGTACGGCAGATGCCAGGCAGGAGCTTTTGTGTTGCCCTCATGTCACGAGTTTACCCTGGTAAAACTGTGGCTTTGTGCAGGGTGTAAAAAAAAGAGTGCGGCAGTACTCTGAAAGATTTTGGGAAATCTTTCATTTTTCCCAACCAAGTAACTACACCTCTTGACTTGAGTATGGCGGAACAGACTACACAGCATGCCGAGTTGCCCCCTGCTGTGAAAGAGCATTGTTTATATAGCACCTCGAACACCCAGGGCTAGCACGCGGTGCTTCGGGTCTTGTCAGAAAACTTTAAAGTGAGCCTGGGGTGTAAAAAAGGTTGGCAGAAAATTGGCGGCACGCTGCGTTTCAGCCGTCAAGTAGATACAATGGCAGCAAGCTTGAACATTAAGGTGATGAAACGACACCGCGCATCTTCAAAAGGTTCGACTCTAACAAGGTTTTCGATGTTATGACTCCCTCAGGAAAACAGACAGCGTATTCAGAATAATACATAGGGAATAATTTATTACAGGACCTCAGGACCTTGGATACCTAAAGCAAGAAAGCGTGCTGATATAATCCTGATTCAAGGAGCTATATTACACTCAAAAAGTGGGTGTAATGGACTTGTAAAGGTAAAAATAAGATGAAAGAACAGAAAAGGAACACACTGCGCCAAACATCTAAGGTGGGCGTCAAACCTACTGTTTACCAAGGAAGACAAAATCAATGCCCTCCCCACTGTGAGATGCAGCGAGAACTGCATCTCACTTTGGGCAGCAGCAGCAGCAGCAGCAGCAGTAATCTAACAGGACTGGGTAAACATGTGGTCTGTGTCAGACTGTAAACTTTTCACTGGCGGCATCCAGGGGACTTTCTCAGCAGTGCCGCATGCCTTTTCAAGGTGTTATGTGAAAATGTAACTGCGCTAAACACGTTAGAGTTGTATTTTATGTCTGAGGTTAAAGCACTGACATGCAGCATGGTCTCAGGTGCGTCTGAGACACCCCCCCCCCCCCCCCTCCCCCAGCAGCAGCAGCAGCAGCAGCAAGGTGTAGCAAACCTGAGCTCCTTCTGTCAAACAAACAACAGCTTGTCATTTTGCATACTTTTACATGTATCTTCTCCGGGGCCACTTTGCTACAGCTTTAAACCGCTAAGATCAACACAAACGCTTTATGCAAAGTGTCCAACTCAACGGTTAAGAGCATAATAAACAGACTGGTGCATGTAAATGTGATGCAGATTATCTGCAGACAGGAGGGGGACGTCACCAGTTACCGCTGTTATCCTGCTCTATCGTTTTATAATAAACGAATCTTGCATTTTAAATCTGCAAAGAAAGCAGCAGCTGCATCTTCACTTGGAACATAAATTCCATTCAATGTAACTTGGGGCTGCTTTCAGATCGCTTTTCGGATTAACTCAACCGGGTTTAGGACGGCAGAGCGCATGTGCTCATAGTTGCCTGTATTTCTCCGCAGAGAGAATCAAAAGTTCCAGCAACCATGGCATTTCAGCTCATAACGTGTTCCCCTTTCGCGGTTGGAAATAACAACAGACTATAGAAAAGCCACTTTCTCCATAAACTGCAAGAAGAAGCTATTCGTCGTACACCAAACTTTCCTGTCAGTTATCTGGAGCGCGTTTTGCCCTGACATGTAACCCACATGTTAGCAACTTACCTAAAACTGCCGAGACCAGATAAATACATTAAAACAGCTAGCTCTAGTTAGCGGGGCATTAGCGCATCTGCTACGGTGTGCGTCCATTATCGGACACGAAGCCAAACTCGCTCACAAACGCTTCATTTTCCTGTTCTGCGCTGTGACACTCCACTTAACCTTTCTGTCGCATTATTTTCTTGGCACCGTTTGTAAGGCTGCCTATTATAACACGCAGTAAAACGAGGTTTATGAGCAAAGTGGACACAAACAACTAGTTCCCCAGCAACTTCGGAATGCGCCGCTTCGGCGGAGGAATACTAAACAAGAAGTGTCGCTTGACAAAAAAAGTAATAAGTTTAAAATGACTTTACAAATACATTGGGGGAGGGAGGCGTTACTAGTTTGTGTGTTTGTTATTTTAGGGGTCGTCTTTATTTTGTAGGCGCTAGAGTGGTGTTGCGATATAATTAATGTGTAGTTACTTACTATCAGTTGGCAGCTGTTTCTATAATTACCTCGTCTTTCTGACGCTTCCGTTACTTTCTCCATGTGATTCGTCTGCCTCTGACCCATTGTCGTCGTCCTCCACGGTAACGTCTGCTCCAATGACCGAGGTGCCTACGTTCTCCAAGCCACGCTTCATGACTCCTGCACCATCTTGCCCCGCGGTCGAACCTGAATCCCCGGTTGTGGACAGCGGCACCCTCCCGATGGTGGAGCCCTGAGCTTGCGAAGTCCCAAATCCGATAAGCGCTTTCAGCAACAAGAGGAGCACCAGGGAAATGCTCACGTTTCCAAAGTGAAACCCCCTTTCCATTTGTGAGACTGGCACATTAGTGATTAGATTTACATGCCACTGGCCTTGTAAATCTTAACATAAAAAAAACTTAAGGTCCAAAAAAACTGTAGTTAAAACAGAAAACAAAGCTGTGTCTTCTAAAACGCCCTTTTCGGAGATGTTCTTTAAGTAAACATAAACAGCCACTGGGAAACCATGTTATTGCCTTTATACTGGACTCGACTTGCCTTGGTAACGCTGAATCCCGCCTTGTTTCTACACTAGGATTGGTTAGTGGAATCGCCGAGTTTGTTAAAAATTCATGTATCCGCCTCTCGTTGGATAATTTGCTGTCAATCATCTAGACTCGCACACTAAGCAGAATACTATTGCACTACCCATCTGTCACTCAAAGAGGTGGGCTCAGGAAGTCCCAGCCTCCCAAACAGTGTACTGCATTGGCTAATCCGCTGTCTGTCACAGCCACGCAGGCGCATTGACGGCTGCCCGACGACCAGAGCAAAAGGTGACGCAAAAATGTCCTCGATGGCGAATTCCGTAGCGGAGCTGTGATTGGTCCGAGTTGACGTCCTCTGACCAATAACACAGGTTGGTCTGACAGGCAGGGACGTTATTGGTCAGTTTGCGTCCTGGGTGACTGAATGGAACAACTAGATTCGACATTTAGGCTGTCATTCATGAATTGTTGTCAAGACAGCCAACATGAAAGCATCAACGTGGCTTCAGTATAGAAGATCGGTGCAGTTCCTGGTCCTGGTCACGAGTTATCGTTCTCAGTTTCATTTACACAGAGATAACAATGACATAATGTCTATAACTCAAGTCACAGGCGAAAAACTCAAAGCTCTCCATGACATTACGGAACTTTTTTTGTGTGTTATAAATATATATTACACAAGTTATTATAAACATGTCAAAGCATTTAATATACAAAAGACGAATTTAGCTATTTATTGTACATAAGGGTATTAGCGCATAATCTGTATATAGAACATTTTGTTGTGCTGGCATTAAACTACCTCAAGTACACCAAGCAGATTGAATATCTAGCGCCTCCCTGTGGTCAAAAAGGAGGGTGGTACTTTCCTGCATTCTGCACAAACTCGAGCACAGCTTGTTATATTCATTCCAGTGTGCCTAGTGACTAAACTGCTCCACCGAGGACACCATCTCCTCTGCTCTTTACTGAAGCCTGCACACCTGGAAAACACCACTCTGAGCACTTTGCTGTTCACGCTGATGACTGACACATGACCACCAACCACACTATGAAGTTTGCGGGCAATGCAACAGCAGTGGGCCTCATCAGGGATGACCACCTGGCTTACAGAGAGGAGGCGTAACAGTTGGTGTGGAGTCAACAACCTGATCCTGAACGTCGGACTTTGAACATGGTGTCACTGGTCAAGAGGGCACAACATTAGGCTGCACTTCCTGCGCAGGATGACGAGAGCCCCCCCTAGTCCCACCCATCCTCACTACATTCTAGAGCGGTACCATAGAGGGCATTTTGACCAGCTGCATCTATGTGTGGGGTGGCTGCTGCAGTACCTCTGATTGGAAGACTGAAGAGAGGCGAGGATGGTGGAAGAAAATCACTGAGGCTCGTCTTCCCTCCATTTAAGACACTGCACCGAAGCGCTGCTTGTTTCGAGGCACAGACATCATCACTGCATCCTCATCCCTCTTTCATGCTCTGTTGTCCCAACCCTCGCATGTTATAGGATTTCTGCTGCTATACAATTTTATATTTCACAATATTTCACCAACTGTAATGAAATTTTGTTCCTTGTATACCTGTTGTACAGTGACTGACAAGGTCAAAGTCAAATAATGTTCAGAAATCACACATTGGTACTGATATCATCTTAATATTTTAACTATTATTCAATTTGCTATTTTGTTAATAGCTTTAAATAAAGGGAAATAAGTGTCAACAAGTATGCTCACACTAAATCACAAAAAAATAAAACAAGACAGAGTTATAATTTTGGTCCTGTATTGACAAAGAAATTAGAACCTTTGCAGCAATAATAATAATAATCACAGTCAACTGGTAAAGAAAAGAATGGAGAAAAATACCATGCTGGTGCAAAAATATTCCAAACACATTCCCAGATCGCTTAACCTTTCATCTCCAGGCCACTTGAATTTGATTTATGAGACTGGAATAAGATTAGAACAGGATCCGAGTGTGTGCACTTCACAGTGGGTTTTTTTAAACATATTTGCCAACTGACTGCATTTGCATGACTTGATCTTGAATTTCGCAGCTCTGCCCATGTCCAGATTCGCTCAGAGTTTTACATTGAAACAAACACATTCACAAGAATAAAACCACAGTGTAAGGCATAGTAAAGTCGAAGGAACGGCTGAATTTGAAAACCATAAGAACAACATGTGATGGCTGATGCAGGCAGAGACAGTAACTTGGCCACAAAATAACATAAGGGATCATTTCTTCAAGGGACAGACTCCATGCTATAAACTGAACTACGAAGATGCACAGTTTCACCAACACTGACAACGCTTTTGTCTTAAACTAAAATATTTTAAAGGCATTCAACTATGAAAATGTATTAACTTTTGCTACTTGAATCATAAAGAACATTCTATTACTTTGGTATTACAAGACACAAAATGTACTCATGGTTCTAGTGAAACTTACATAATCTACAGCACGCCAAAGTTAAATAGCATGGCTGTCTACCATCATTACCTACTTCAAGTTACGTTAGTGGGAGGCGTTCAGTGTCCAGATGACTCGTGTAAAGGATAAGTAACGGTCATGCAGGTGACATACAGGCACAAAAAGAACAGAGACAGAGGAAGGAGATGTGTACATGCATTAGTTTTGCTTTTTTCCTGGACAAACAGCGAGGCTGAGGACTTTAACCTTCAATGATTAGTCTAACTTTACAGGAGCAGTGAAACCTCAGAGGAAACCACATATATTTCCCCAATCTGTCCTCATTCAGGACAGGAAATCAGATAGCTGTTTTGTCATGTTAGGCTTCTTCAACAAGGAAACTTGCATTACACTCCACCTTTATATTGTGCATCTTTGTAACACATTACCAGAGGCTTCATAGCTGCACTAGATCATTTTATGCCTCTTGCTGCTTAAATTGGGATATTCATTAGTAGTTCTTGCCATCCCTCCAAAAGCAGGCAGACTAGTGCTGACTGCTTACAGGATTTTTTTGGTTTTGTCGGCCTAGCAGATGTTTTGACATATAATTATGATATTTATTTATTTTTTAAATGTGCCTTTAAAAAGGTCTTCTTTTTTTAAATCTCAAGGCACTCCTTAATCTGGCTGTGCAGCACTGTAGTGGTTCACCTTAATACTTGAGAACCACAACTCTGCAGAGACTCTGTCAAACCTGCTAACTGCAGAAGAGCCAAAATTCCCAGTGTGACCAGGAAGCCAAACTGGGGACATTACAGGCTAAGAAAGAAGATGCGACGCACTTGATTTTACTCATCAGGCACTTTAAAACTCTGAAGCACCACCAGCAGGATGAGAAAACCAAGTGATCTTCAGTGAGATCCTAGTGAGATGTGTGAAAACTGCCTTGCTTTGCAGGAGGTGCAGCTCAACCCAAACAGTACGGCACCTGGAGGAAATCAAGACTATGGCACTTGTGGGAGCGGTGAGGTCATTCGGAAAGATGAGCAGAGAGAGATTGTGTTGATGGTGGAAAACTCAGTTGACCGCAGGATCTCGAACCTGCACGCTTCCGTCCTCCATGCCAAAGTAGGCCCTTTCGGCCATCCCAACGAAGAGCCCGGTCTCTACCACACCTGTAAGCACACAGACAGGCTGAGCACTCTGAACACTGATGGATGGACCAATATACTTACAACAACAATGAGACACGCCCCAAGCTCCTCACCCGGGATCATCTTGATTGCAGTGTTCACTTCCTTCCAGTTCTGAGCATGCTCAAACTTCCAGTCCAGGATGAAGTTGCTATTATCAGTGACCACGGGACCCTGAAAGCCACAAATACATAACCCAGTCACTCCAGCAAAGTACGGGAACACACGCAAAGCTTGTTATCTCGGGCGCTGGAAGTATAATTGTTCTCCTTAGCAGTTTACAAAACGCTTGAGCGTGGTCTGCCACATGTAATTACTAAGTGATCGTGCGCGATTATAAAGGAAGTTTTAATTAAATAACAGCATGTCTGATCGTCAAGGATCTGTGAGTAAACAAACTGTCCCACTCATTAGCACTCAAACAGTTTCCAGGCTCAACAGCATAAAAAAGGGAAAAAGAAAAAAAGAGGAAAAAAAAGAGCAATGAAAACATTAAGAGCTGGAATAATAAACAGAGGCTCCCGTCTCTCGCTGGATGTTGTTCATTTGAAAGAACAGAGTAGGAGGCAAATCATTAAAGTCTGCAGAGTGTTAATGAGGCAGTTACGGCGCCTGTGTAGGCGGCTTTGCCCTCCGCTTTCAGTGTAAACTTTCCTCAGTTTCACACAGTTGTCACAAGCCTCTAACGAAGCCGACTCACGAGGCCACGCAGTTAGTTAATTGCACTGGATTGACACTACAGGCACTGCAGCCAATGAGCTGGTCCACAGCAGCACTAAGTCTTCCTCAAAGTTACTCAAAAACCGTTTAACTATGTGCTCCTCGCTTCACCAAGTTCAGTAAACGACATATAGAAAAATGTAAAGTCCCGGTTATTGTTTGTGGGTTCAACTCCTTCATGTGAAGCCCAGTGTAATGCTTCACTGTCACTGATGAGGCAGTATCACCATCCATCATCACATCCTTCAATTTGGACACACTTAAAGATAAAAATACTAGTAGGTAGGATAAGTGAAATGAGATGATCAGAGGGTAAAATCACCTTTTACACTGAGGCCAGCTACACAGGCAACATCAGGCTGATATACACGGCAGCATTTTTGATTCTGTTTTATGGGAAGGGTTAAAATGTTGCTAATAAAAGTAGAAAATGGGGCTCAGTGACTGCGGTGTAGCACCTATGGAAGTCTGGTCGGGACAAACAACAGGCACATGTCCCCAGAAGCAAACAAAGGCTATTAACCAATATGCTGCCACTGAAATGTCTCTTTTATGCACAGCCTATGGCTAAATTTAAACTTAAATTCTTTTTAACTGTTGATTAACACTAAAAGTTCAATGGTAAGTTTGAGAACCACTGAATGAAAATCCAGGAGGAAAACCAAAGCAAAGCTGTGAGCAATGAAACAGAGGTGCAGCTGAGATGTCACAGATGTTAGAGTCAGTCCACTTACTGCTTTGCTGACAGCCATTCTTAAGTTAGCCTCGCCTCCAAAACGCTTGGCTATTGTTCTGGAGACGGGAACATGCGCCATGGGGATAACCTCAACGGGAACTCCTTTCTTCCACTGTTGGCCCAGAGCTTTGGAGTCCTTCCTGGAGTTGTGGAGAAGGGGAACGAATCAAATCTGGACGAATGATCCTCACATAGATACAGATCAGTCTAAAACCCGTTTTTATTTTAGTAAAAGAAAATTAATACAAATATTTAATACTTAAAGTGTCTTATTTGGTACCCGATGTGGCTGTGATAGCTGATGTGGCAGCAGCGAGTGTCAGTTTACTTAGAATGAAAGGACACATTTCCATCACTGGTTCAAAGCTGTGGTAAAACTGGTGCCGTCTTGGAATTACAAGCACTCGTTCACGGTAACGCTACAAACACACTTTCCTATCATATTGAACCGTCTGCCAAAACATAACGATTAATGACACCTCAACAGATCTCTGAATTCTACGATATTTTAATAAACAGTAGGATTACATGGTTCCTGAGGCCAAAGTCACCACGATTTAAACTTGTCCCAAGATTTTTAATAGATTCAAGTTAAATTTGCAAACATGGGTTTCCACACTACTCACCTGCCTGGCAGGGTGGCCAGACCCCATCACCCTAAAAAGCCCAAGTGTGCACCTTTAATTATACCCAGATAGTCAAGATCTTCATATGAATAATTTTTCATGTCCTGTACATCCTAAAGGTCGGGTCAGGTTTATATGGTGGATGTTTGGAATCATGCACAGGTTAAGTCCAGTGCAGTTCATTTTGTCTGTTGTAACAGAGTAATTTAATCAACCCTGGTTTTAAAAAAGAAGTACACTGCTGAGCAATGTTCCCTCTAATTTTTCATGTGTCTGAGCGAACACACAAACTCCCAGAGCGGTCCCTTGGAACACTGTGAGCAACAGCAGACGTGTGCTCTGTGGTCAAACCAGCATCGAATCCATCCAAGTTACACGGTTTATTAAAATAATCAAATTACAGCATTTACATTTATGTTAGACTACTTTTAATTAAATTTTATACACACACACACACACACACA